GCGCTCTTGCTCCATTTATTTCAATCCCTCCCCCCTCAGTACCAGATCTCTTCTAATAGATGGCCCCCTCCCATTCTTTCCACCATCTCATTACTAATTGCCAGAGCACCACTGCTCCAGGACATGACCATAAGGCATGTTCAATTGTTTCCTCCTGCCCACAGCCCACTGGACACAAAGATGTCCTTACCTTACCCTCTCCACGAGATAATTGACCTCAAGGAAAAAGCTAACCAGAACTGAGCCAAAATCCTTGCCTTATGTCCTGAGCTCCGGGCCACCATACCTACTGCAAAGGAGGAGAAAAGGGCCTCCATCTTTAAAGGAATACAAGGCACTCCTCTTCCACCCTCCCTCAGGTGGCGATACATCTGGGTCCTTGCTACCATCTCAATGCCATTCCTCCAGAAGAAGGAAAAAAACCAACCTCTCCAGTTTCCTGCCGCACCAAAAAGGCACTGGAAAGATGTATGCCAGGTGGTTTAGGCTTGGAAGAAGGTCCGTCCTCACCACCTCTAATCTACCCCATAAAGAAAGTCCCCTCGAGTTCCATCTTGCCACTTTTGCCAGTACAACCTTAAGCCTAGTTTCCCAATTCTTGTGTGCACTATTTCTCCTAAAAAAGCAAATACCCAGAATCTTCATGCTGTCTGGGCACAAACTATATCCACCTGGCACAACTGTTCTCTCTGCCCACCGGCCCGCAAACAGTGCCGATGACTTATTCACATTTACCTGAGCCCATGATGCCTTACAAAACTCCTGGAGGATCCTTTCTGCCACCACAAAATCTTGCTCAGAGGTCAGGAAAAGTGTCATGTCATCGGCATGTGCCGCCACCTTTGCACTTATTCCCCTCCCACCAGGCAAATGCCCTCCTGTCAGGGATGGGGCTGAACGTAGTGCCGCCATAAGAGGCTCAAGCGACAAAATGTGGAGCAGAGGAGACAAAGGGCATCCCTGCCTAACCCCACCCTGTTGTCCTACCAGCTCGGAATAAAAACCATTCACCCCTATTCGACTCTTCACCCTGGTGTATAACAGTCTTACCCAGGCCCTGAAAACGGGACCAAACCTCAACTACTCCAAAACTGACATTAAAAAGGCATGACTTACTCTGTCGAATGCCTTCTCCTGGTCCAAACTAAGGATTCCCAAAGATATCTGGCGCTGTTCAACCCAACTAATGATATCCCTAAACAAGGCTAAATTCCAGCTGCCAGACCTACCTGGCACCCCGCAAGTCTGATCAGGATGGACGACTAAGCCCACCATGCTTTTTAACCTCTCCATTATGACCTTGGCCAACACTTATACACTTATAATCTGTTGTGAGCAAAATTATTGGCCTCCAGTTTGCTAAATCCTCTTTCTTCCCTTTCTTATACAAAAGGGTCACAAAGCCAGTCCGCATAGTCGAAGGCAACTCTCCCTTTCTCAGACCCTCCTGATACACCTCCACTAGCTCTACCCCTACCAAGAGCCAGAATATATATTATACACACACATATACACACACACACAAAGAAAAACAAGTAGATAGAATAGAAAAAATAGCCAGTGTTTGTTAGTTTTTTGTTGTTTAAAAACAAGAGAAGATAAATATAAAGTAGAATTAAAATAGAATAGAAAGTGTTAGAGTTAGAGGGTCAAATAAAGGTGGAACAGATCTGCTTTTAGTCGTTTCTTGAAGATGGCTAAGGACTCAGCTGCTCAGATTGAGTTGGGCAGGTCATTCCACCAGGAGGGAACAATTCATGAAAAAGTCTGTGAAAGTGATTTTGTGCCTCTTTGAGATGCACAATAATACGCCGTTCACTTGCAGAACGCAAGCTTCTAGAGGGCACATAACTCTGAAGTAATGAATTTAGGTAAATGGGTGCAGAGCCAGTGGTGGTTTTGTAGGCAAACATTAATGCCTTGAATTTAATGCAAGCAGCTACTGGTAGCCAGTGCAAATTGATGAACAGAGGTGTGACATGCGTTCATTTCTGCTCATTAAAGATTAATCTTGCAGCGGCATTTTGGATTAATTGTAGAGGTTTGATAGAAGAAGACCTGCCAAGAGAGCATTGCTATAATCCAGCCTGGATAGAACAAGAGCTTGAACAAGGAGTTGTGTTGCATGTTCTGAAAGAAAGGGCCTGATCTTCCTAATGTTGTATAAAGCAAATCTGCAGGACCGGGCAGTTTTAGCAATGTGGTCTGAGAAATTCAGATTATCATCAATCACAACTCGAAGGTTTCTAGCTGTTTTTGAAGGAGTTATGGTTGATGAGCCTAACTGGATGGTGAAATTTTGATAAAGTGATGGGTTTGTTGAAACCACAAGCAGTTCTGTCTTAGCCAGGTTGAGTTGAAGGTGATGGTCCGTCATCCAACGGCTGAGATTTTATTTAAATTATTTTTATAATGCTGAGAATGTTATTAAACAGTCAACATATTATATGTGTGCACACACATATTGTGATATGTTAAAATTTGTTTACTTATTTTTCATATTGACCTTAAAACCAATATCTTTCTCACATCACCCATACAGAGAGAGAGGGCAAAAATGAAACCGAATACCTGAGCACATGGTCCGCAGATGCCCGGATGTGGGACAGGAACATAAAATCTTCAAAAACATTCCTCAGGATTTCATTTATCTCCTGTCACCGGTCGGACACGTACAAACAATTGTACAAACAATGGAATTTCAGGCATGCCGATTTCTGCATCTGGATATTATTATGAGGTCAGAGGTTGATGTCGGAATTTCACACATGCCGATTTCTGCATCTGGATATTATTATGAGGTCAGATGATGATGTCGGAATTTCACGCATGCCGATTTCCGCATCTGGATATCATTTACAGGTCACGGGGTCAACCAACGTGGGTGGTCGCGATGTGGGTGGGCTACATGGGGGGAGGGCAAAGGTCAAAGTAATTAATCATATTGACGTTTAGTCCCGGGTACTTACTACTCAGGCACATCCCCTACTGCGGAGATGACGAGTCAGTGTCGCCGACTTCATCTCTTAAACCAAAAACAAAGAAAGCACTAGTTTATCAATAAGTTATTAAAATGTTATTGCAGCCATCCTTACTGTTTTTCCCTGACACATTCATAATTATACTTCTGCCAGTGCGCTGTGGGAAGCTTTATGCATGCACTTGAGCGCTTATTAGGCTATGTAGGCAATTAAAGGCTCATTATAATGATTTAAATGGTTTATTAATAAACCTGCGATTAGTCGACTAATGCTTAAAATAAATGACTACTAGCTGACCAGAAAAATCCTTAGTCGAGGGCAGCCCTAATGATTTCATAATGCTATGTCTGTTTTAGTTTGATTATGTTGTCAAAACACACATGCAATAGCAAGGGGGCACTGATACTGTTTCCTATGCAAGTACGTAAGCCAATCATAACAGTGACTGAATACTAACAAGCCTTTAAGGACACGCCCCTTAAAAACAACCCATTTCTAAGAGAAACCGCATACTTTCCTACTATATAGTAGGCAAAAAGCAGTAGGCAAGCGAATAAGTATGTTTGAACTCTGAGTATTCATAAAAGAGTAGGCGAGAATTACCTAATTGCACTAATTGTCACGAGATTCAGATGTACGTGTACTTAAGTTGCGTTCGAATATGCCTACTTACCTACTACATAGTAGGAGAAAAGAGTATGTGAAAGAAAGAAGTACGTTCGAAACTGCAGTATTCATAAAAGAGTAGGCAAGAAATCCCCAGATGTCCTACTGCTTCAGTCCAGATTCTGAATTTTTTGTTCATCGATGGACACTTTTCTCCCAGAAGCCCACGCGAGAGGATACGTCATCATCGAACATGAAGGAGAACAGCAACGAGGGTGTTTACAAATGTATTACAAATCAAAACACGGTTCCTTGTGTTAAAATCACATTTGTTGAACTACTGTAGAGTAAATTGTTGAATTGCTGAAGGTGTAAGATGCTAGACAGTATAGTATACTTGTGATTTTTCTGTAAAAACACGTTTTATTATGTTATAGGCAGTGAACACGGGAGCTCCAGTGAGCACATGTACGTCTCCAAAGTGAATTGACATAAACCATATACATCTTAAAGATGATTATTAATTGTCTATTTAATATGAGACAGGAAAATGTTCAAAAAGAATTACAGATGGGCACACCTAATAGACATGAAATAGACATCGGAGTGAAGTATGTGCGCTAGTGTGTAGTAGAATTCACTGTTGTCAATACTGCTTACATTAGTTGAATATAATGTAAATAAATAAATCTACATAGAGTGACTAAACATAAGTTATCTGTTTTATTTGTCCATTAGTACTGCTGATAAATTGAGAAACATTTGTGTTGGATAAAAAGCAGTTAACACATCAGCAACTACCTCAACATGTAAATGCAGTATTGAGCACACAAATCTCAGAGGTGACTTGACTCTTGTCTGGATGTTACAGGGACAGATGAGACACACGTGTGTTTATCTGCTGCAGAGAGACTGATGAAGCAATGCTGCCATCAAAGGCTCTCAGTGAGTACACTACAGAAATGAATAAAACATCTTTTAAATCTTAAGTTGTAGTTTATTTTAATTATTGTAATTTCAAACAGAGTTATCACAGCACTTTTCTGATTCTTGATTCCTGTGCATTTGCTGCAGAGCTTTGGTGGTGGAGCAGGACCTGCAAGGAAAGGTGACGGCGGCATTTGTGGAAAAAAGAGAAAACCTGAAACAAAAACAAAGTAAGATCATTTTGTTACTTCTAATACAGAAATGAAATGACATTCTGCTGTTAGAATGACTGCGTTTGTATTGTGTTTGTGCATTTCTGCAGGGTCTGAAATGTCTGCAGTACACGGTGTACATTTTAGGACATCCTTAAATGAAATGGCGTCATGCCTCAGACTAAAAGACTTCAGTCATTGGACAAAACGGCATCGCGCCTCAGACTGAAAAGCTTCAGGTCTCAGGAAAAACGGTGTCAGGTCTCATACAATTAGGCATCAGACAAAAAGGCATCAGACGAACGGACTCAGACAAAAAAGCATCAAACGAACGGACTCAGACAAAAAGGCATCAGACAAAACGGACTCAGACAAAAAGGCATCAGACGAACGAACTTAGACAAAAAGGCATCACGAAACGGACTCAGGTGGAGTGTCACGTTGCCCTGCCCCATGTGACGTCACACGCACGCAGTTCAGAGGAAGTGGTATGGAACGGTTGATGGATGGCAAAAGGAGGTAAGCCGCATCTGATATATTTTAACAGTTTTATTTAAATGTTACACTAATTAAGTTATATACAGAAGAGAACATGCATTTCGAGAGTCTTGTGTGCACGTTTAAAAAGTTAATTAGCCATATTGCAACTAGCGAGTTTTTATGTTGGCAAACTGTAGTAAAATTAAAACGAATTCTTCTATCTAAAAACGAGTTAGACTGCTTGATTAAAATGTGAGTGTATTATATAAACATTTTTAAAACAATACAATTAGTCAGTTAATCAGCTACCTCGCCTTAGGCCAATCAAAGCGAGTAATATGGGCCGGAAAATAAGTAATTATTTTACATCATTGTAGATAATAGAAGTTTTTTTTATATATGTACATACATCTAAAACAGGGATGGGCAACTGGCGGCCCGCAATTTCTTTAAATACGGCCGGCTGGACGACTTGGATGATCAATTGTAAAATGTGAAACGGTAAGTAATGGAGAAATTGCGTTGAGATTATGATGTTAATACTAAATCCAACCAGGAGAGGTCGCTAGTTTCCAGCCGATCCCCGTAGTAGTAGTAGAAGTGCACGCTAATGTGAAAGTGTACTAAAATAAAGAAAAAAAATATAAAGAAAAATTGACATTGAAAATAGTGTTTTTCAGTCAAGATGGTAACCGGATTATCTTTTTACAAAGTTCAAGGACACCTATATATGTTTGTTTTGTTTGGAAACAAAAGGAAAGATTTTAATGTAAATTGTAAGATTTTAATTAAGATCTTAAAGGGGTCATATGATGCTGCTAAAAAGAACATTATTTTGTGTATTTGGTGTAATGAAATGTGTTTATGCGGTTTAAGGTTCAAAAAAACACATTATTTTCCACATACTGTACATTATTGTTTCTCCTCTATGCCCCGCCTTTCTGAAACGCGTCGATTTTTACAAAACTCATCGGTCTGAAAACCAAGGTGTGCTCTGATTGGCCAGCTATCCAGTGCGTTGTGATTGGCCGAATACCTCAAGCGTGTGATGGAAATGTTACGCCCCTCACCATACTGTGATGATGCCCTGTCCGGCCGGAGCGACGAGACAAAAACATGAAAACCCATTATAAACGAGGCATTTGTTGCATCCAGTGGGGACATA